TGATGAGAAGTAATTAAAATGATGAAAAGTAATTTTTTTAGAAGGATTCTTATTATATGAATATTTTTGAATAATTTGTATTTTTCAATTATTTTTGAAATTAACGATTTTTATGTTACTACTGTAACAATAATTTGAAGTTTTAATAAATTGATAAAAATAATATTTAAAATATATTTTTAAAATAAAATAATTTTTATTTTTTTTAGAAAAGTATTGCATTATTTATTCTTGAATAAAAGTATAAAAGAATATTATAAATCAGTGTTGTTCGCTGGAATGTCCAGTGGGAGTCACTGGAATTAGAATGTCACTGGATCTTACTGGATGGAATTGTGTAACAGATCAGCTTCCAGTGGTAAGTTGTCACTGGACTCTTCCAATCAGGATTTTTTATGTACTGGATGAAAGATCCAGTGACATCCAGTGGTGTCCAGTGGCTTCCAGTGATAACTCAGCAAATTTTTTATATTATTATACTTGGTATAAAATGGCTTAACAGCACACAGGTGGTCCTGGAAAACATCAATTTATGAATGATATTATTATACTTGGAGTGAAGGCTATGAACAAATACAATACTTATAGTATATACAAAGCTTGTGACGAAGCTCTTGGTTGGGAAGAAGCTTTAAAAAATCCAGTCACTAATAAAAAAAATACTGTTCAAAACCACCTAAAAAAATGTGAATATTTTTGTGCCAAACTGGGATCTCAAGAAGCAGTAGATGCATATTGTAATAAGACGAATAATGAAGCAGATGCTTCTCAAAGTTCAAAAAAATGCCAAAACACTAATATATCAGGTAAATTATTAGTAACTTCTGAAAATTATATTAAATATATCGATAATTAATTTTTTTTAATAGATGATGACATTCATATAAGTGATGTAATCTCCAGTGTTTCTTCTTCTATCATACTTCGATTACTTCAAAGTTCAAAAAAAAACAATCAAATTCGATAGCTAATTATATTATTAGAAAGATTACAACAAAAGAGAAATTCAAATTCGAACAACTATTGCTTCAGATGACAATATTAAATGAATGGGCCTTTCAATGGACAACAAATCCAGCAACTCAAGAGTTTTTAAGTTTTTAAATTCAACTCTAACACTTCCTGGCTGACGTGCTTTATCTAATCATATCCTGAATACTGAAAAAGTCAATTTGATCATGTCTCGTGAACAAAAACTAAAAGAAGACAGTATTGGAGTTACCTTGGCATTTGACAAATGGAAAAATGTTCTAAAACAACATATTTTTGGTTCATTATTTATTTTATCAACTGGTAAAGTTCAAATTTGGGAGGTAATTGATATAAGCTCAGAATGAGAACAAATGATTGAAATTATTCTGAAAATTGAAAGTATGATCAAAGACGCGTCAGATATAGAGGCTAAATTATTAGTAATTATTTCTGATAGTGCATCTGCATATGTCGCTGCAAGATAAATATTATATTGTTTCTTTAAAAAAATTTATATTTTAATTACTCTTTTGAACAGACGCTGATTACAATTGCAATATCCAAAATTTGCTTTTCTTTCATGTTTCACTCATCAATGTAATCTTGCCGTGAATGATATATTCAAGGAATCTAATGAATTCAAGATCGCATCAAAACAAGCAATAACTATAGTCAGTTATTTTAATAATGCAATTCATTCATATTTTATTGGAAAGCTTCGAGAAGTACAAAAATGAATATATTCAAATTATATTACCTTGATTTGTCCGGGTGATACTCGTTGGAATTCTTATTATTATTGTTTTAAGAGTTTGATAAAATCTTGCCAAGCTTTAAGAGTAAGTATTTCAATTTTCGATTTATTAATTTAATTAAATCTTTAATTTAACATATTAAATTTTTTCAAGAATCTAGCTACTACTCACAAATTACCTTTAGACCTTAATGAAGAATCAAGTTAACGTTTAACTAAAGATGGCGCGGCAACTGTTGCAACGTTGTGACAAATAAAGCATCACCTAGTTGCAACTAGTTGCGGCTTATAAAATTTTGGAGTTGCAACATGTTGCAACGGGTGACAAATAAGCGTCACATACTTGCTGCACCATCTCTACGTTTAACTCATCTTGATGAACTTTATCTGTCACGAAATATAACATTGATTCTGCTTAACGACAATTTTTGGTAATCAATAACACGATTACATTCTTTGCTTCTTCCTCACTGTGGAGCTCTCAACAAATTATAATCTGATACTGCTCGTCTTTATGAAGTATTACAAGCTTTCAGCAGAATTTTGAAAACATGGGAAGAATATTCAGATCAAGATTTGGCACAACGTATGATCTGATGACTAGAACAAAGATGAAAGCAATGGGAATAATCATTATTATTGTTGGATTTTCTTTTAAATCCAAATATTTGTAATACATGGTTCAGAATTACTACTGAAATTTGAATTTTACATATCTTGCTCAATTTATTACCTATTATTATAAGGTCTGGTTTGGATGTCGACCAATTTGCATTTTACTTGAGCTAGAAGAGTATAGAAAACAAAATTATCCCTTTGATCTTACAACATATGAACAATTTGGAGAAAACATATTGGAGTTTTGGAAATTTGCTTCTTCTTCAACTAGAGAATTAGGTCCTTTGGCAATACATTTGTTTGGAATTTGTATCAATGCAGCATCTGTAGAGTGATTATGGAGTTCAATGAAATTTCTTTATACTAACCGACAAAACCGTCTCCAAGTAGGTTTTTTATTTATTCTTTATTAAAATAAACTAACATATTATTTTCTAAAATTTAGAATGAAAAAGTATTAGCTATGAGCCAGATTCGTGCTTTGATTAACTTTTCTCAACGAAAAAAACAAATTTCTACTGACAATATCTTGTTCAATCAATCCATGTTTTACCTGTTGATGAGGTTGCTGATGAGCCTACTGACGAACCTACCAATGAACTCGAACTAAATAAATATAGTACAGATACTGAACAAGATGAATTGCAAGATATTAAACCATCAAGTATAATAACACCTGATAATTGGAAAAATCAATTATGTGACTGGGAACAGATGTTAATAGATGAGGAGATTACCAGATCAGAAGATGAGGAGGCAGAACGTGATAATGACAATATGGAAGGTAATTTGTTAAGTGATTACATACATCCAGCAATAAATAACAGAGCAAAATGGGAATTGAGTGATATATTTAGTTTACTGTTTCAAAAATCAAATTTTATGAATAGTAATGATAATTAATTTTAGCTATTAATGTATATATTTTTATTGGTTAATATTATTTACTATGCCTACATTTTGATTGGTTAACATTATATTGGTTCCAGTGGGATAATCGTTCCAGTGGGAGCTCTCACTGGAAGTACTGGACCTCTGGAAAAATCTGGATGTCCAGTGGGATTCCAAAAGTCCAGTGCCAACACTGTTATAAATAATTAATTGAGATTATTCTTTATTTAATGTAAAAAAATTATAGTTAAATTCTGAATGATTTTTATTAAAAGTAATTATTAATTTTTATTTTGAGATATGAATCTTTTTGTACTGGATCATATATATATTAGATATAGTATATTTCACTTAATTACATTAAATACTGTATTTTTAAAGAATTATTATTTTCAAATAAGTTAATATATGCAATGCTAATTAGAGTTTTTATAAAAAATAACATGTAATTTTATATAATGAAATCCAATCAATCAAAAACAATATATATGATATTTTAGTACTAAAAATCTCACTTTTATTATTAAAATTGATGTTGAAAAAATTTAACTACAAAAAATTTTTATAATAAAATGAACAAAAAAATTATAATGTTATAGATTATATCAAAGGCTATTTAATAATATAATTGCTTTAATGATTATATATTTAAGATATGATTATATATTTATGATAAAATTCTTTATAGTTCAAAGTATTTGATATAACAAAGTGGATGCAACATATTAAATTTAAGATTTTTGGATATTCTTCAGTCCAGTGTTGGCAACTTTATATACCAATAGTTTTGAATTGAAATTGGATCTATATTCAATTAAAATGTGGTACAGTTTATTATTGTTATAACAATTTCTAAAAATAGCTAAAAGAGAAAATAACTCATCAAATATCAATTTCTAACTTGATTTACATTTTTTGTAACAATTTTATCGGGAAAGAATATGATATAAAAGAAAAATTTATAATAAAAAAATCTTTGTGAGAACTGGAAAATTAAAATTATTTTTAGCAGCAATGTCGACCCATTTTTTAGCTTCTTTTCTATCTTTAAAAGTTCCAATACCGTTCCTGTAACACAAACCAAGATTATATTGTCCTCTTGCGTTTCCACCCTCTGCTGATTTCAAATACCATTCGAATGCTTTTTTCTCATCTTTTTGTGTTCCATTTCCTTTTTCATAACAAAAACCAAGACCACATTGTCCTTTTGCGTTTCCACCGTCTGCTGATTTTAAATACCAATCAAATGCTTTTTTCTCATCTTTTTGTGTTCCATTTCCTTTTTCATAACAAAAACCAAGACCATATTGTCCTTTTGCGTTTCCACCGTCCGCTGATTTTAAATACCAATCAAATGCTTTTTTCTTATCTTTTTGTGTTCCGATTCCATTTAGATGACACCGACCAAGGTTACAATATCCGCTCGCATCTCCACCTTCTGCTGATTCCAAATACCACTCGAATGCTTCTTCCTTGTCTTTTTTTGTTCCAATTCCTTTTTCATAACAAAAACCAAGCTTACATTGTCCGTCCGCATCTCCACGCTCTGCTGATTCCAAATAACATTTGAATGCATAATTCTCATTTTTTTGTATTCCGATTCCATTTTGATAACACCGACCAAGCTTGCAATATCCACTCGCATTTTCACCAATTGTTGACTTCACATACCACTTGAATGCTTTTTTCTCATCTTTTTGTGTTCCGAATCCAATTTCATAACAAAAACCAAGACCACATTGCCCGTCCGCATCTCCACTTTCTGCTGACTCTAAATAACATTCGAATGCTTTTTTCTCATCTTTTTGTGTTCCAATTCCATTTTGATAACAAAAACCAAGGCCACATTTTCCTCTTGCGTTTCCACCATCTGTTGATTTTAAATAACAATCGAATGCTTTTTTCTCATCTTTTTGTGTTCCGAGTCCAATTTCATAACAAAAACCAAGACCGCTTTGCCCGTCCATATCTCCACCCTCTGCTGACTCTAAATAACACTTGAATGCTTTTTTCTCATCTTTTTGTGTTCCAATTCCATTTCGATAACAAAAACCAAGACCACATTTTCCTCTTGCGTTTCCACCCTCTGTTGATTTTAAATACCATTCGAATGCTTTTTTCTCATCTTTTTGTGTTCCAATTCCTTCATCATAACACCAACCAAGATTACATTGTCCTCTTGCGTTTCCTCCGTCTGCTGATTTTAAATACCACTCGAATGCTTTTTTATCATCTTTTTGTGTCCCGATTCCATTTTCATAACAAAAACCAAGATTACATTGTCCTCTTGCGTTTCCTCCCTCTGCTGACTTCAAATACCACTCGAATGCCTTTCTCTCATCTTTTTGTGTTCCGATTCCAATTTGATAAGCATATCCTAGAAAGAATTGAGCTGAACAATTGTTATCATTTGATAGCTCTACATATATATTCAATGCTAATGCAACATTTTTTTCAACTATGAATCCCGTTTGATGAAGAAATCCTAAAAGTAGCTTATATTGAGTTTTATTTTCCGAATAGTTTTGAAGATGGAAAGCGTACTGACTGTATAAGTCATAATGGGATTGTAATTCGGCACCTATTTTATTTAAATTCTCTTCTTTGCCGAGTAAATCATTGAACAGAGCTACTAATTTGTCAATATTAACTAGTTCAACTTCTGGAATACTACATGTATCTTGAAACGTCACGTTTGGTTCTGATGGCCATTCGAGTTCATCAAGTTTTTGATTCACTTTATGAATATCAGGACGATTATCTGGTATATTGTCCCAGCATTGTTTATATAACTCAACGTATTTGTTAGGAGTCCCGATAGTTGTACTTTCTTTTTCATTTGTTGGATTAAAAAACGTATATCCGAATTTGTGGGATGGAATGCGACCGCTAGATATAACCCAAAAAAGAATCCCAAGACTAAAGATATCTGATTTCTTGTCTCGGCGATAATTATCTGGATTCTGTAAAAACGCTGGATCTACATAGCTTGCAACACCATATTTGCTGTTAGAATAAGAATCGGTTTCCGCAAGTTTAGAATAACCCAAGTCTGCGATTTTGATTTCTCCGTTATAAACAAGGACATTGTTATGGTTCTTAGGTATGATAAATCAAGTAAGGATTAAAATTCTACTGTACTCCAAGTTAAAGAAATAAATAAAACTCTTACCAAATCTCTATGAATAATGCCTTCATCGTGTATACACCTTACCCCTTTTGAAAGTTGCCGGGCTAAAGACAACTTGTCAATTCCTTCTAATTTTGAAAAATTATCTACCAGATAATCTCGAAGGGTTCCGCCATTGGCATAATTAAAAACCAACATGTATTTATTCTTGGGATCTGGTAGAGTCAAAGTTCATAGCATTTATTCTTATATTCTATATCTTAAGTAAATTACATTGTAGATTTACCTTTAGTAATTCCATAAAAATCGATAATGTTTGGATGATAATGAACTTGGATAAGGAATTTTAACTAATTTGAAATATGTCGTTTGATTAGTAATTTGATCAACAACTAAAGTAATAACGATAACGATAAATTTACCTCTTTAATGAATTCTTTTTGTTTTTGTAAATTTTTATTCTTGTCATAAAGACCCTTCATAGCTACCGTCATGTCACCATTTAAATTCGCTTTATATACTTCGCCAAAATTTCCATTTCCGATTACTTTTATATCTTTGAAAACATTATATTCAAAATATTTGATATGCTTTTCTGTAATGGCAGTTTCTAACCAAGTTGTTGCCATCTTATCGTTATGTGATGTTGTAGTACGTATTGACACTACATTTATCATCGTTATACATGTACATGTACCGTGTTTTTTATGTATACGTACTGTATAAGTTAATGTTGTTACGTTACAATTACATGTAGATTGATCCTTAACATACGTATCGGTATGATATCGATAGTATTAGCGTTAGTGAATCATATACGTATAATTTAATTATAACTTTACTCTATTTTTCTTCATTCCTTTACATAAATCCCTTTTACCTTACTAATTTGGAAAATTCACAAAATAGATATATGTTATGCATTCACAATTCAATGCTGTAATTAGGACTCAAAATCTAATAATAATTTCTATATTCAATGAACTCTATTCCTTCGAGGTACATGTACATGTATATTGTGCCTTAGGCACATTGATCGACCAGAATCAGCGTTTTCAATCACATATACATGTATGGGATATGTAGTTTTAAAATTTTTATTTGAATAGCGTGGATTATGTCATATTATAGTGTTGCGTTTCGTAGGTTATATTCGAACACATGTTATACTCAATATTATTAACGTTAAAAAAAAATAAGTAGTCAATGATAAATAAATACTTAATGTAAAAGAATCGGAATATTGTCTTTTCTATAAAGTTTGCCTCTTTTATTTTTCTAGAAGCCAGCAATAGCAATATTTTTCGTCTTCATATTTGAGAGCGAGAGAAATGTGATAATGCGTGTTTACACATAAATTTTTGATAGAAATAAATTTTTTTACCAAGCTTAATTAATAGCATACAGCTTTTGTCGCTTTTCTCGAATCGTACTTAGTTCAGCCTTTTTATAAAAACTTTGGCAGCAACACTATAGTATGCGAATGTTTTTCTTCGTCTATTGGTATTTCTATTTCATAGTTAAACAGAATCAAAGAAGACTGGCATGAATCGTGTCTTTTGATATTGCAATACTTTGGGAAACACATCTTTTTTTATTTAATTCATCAATGTGTTGTTCCAAACTTTTAATGTTGCGCCATAAAAGAATGTTAAGTCTTTTTGAATTTCTTCGTTTGTGATACTTGGTTATTTTAGTTGGCTTTTTACGAAGCTTCATTTGGTTTTTATATTTGAAAAATATGTCTTTAGCTATTATAAATCACATATTAAATAAACTTAATCAATAAGAATATTTTTTCTAGTATCGGTATAACGATAATGTGTTTATTACGGAATCCATCTATGTATCGGTATACGTAAGTAAATTTCCGTGACCAGCGCTATCACTAATTGGTACATGTATCAATTATCGTGGTTTTTACATGTATTTATAATTACCGTTACATGTACGTATTTGGTGATACACTATACTGCGCATAATTAAAAATGAAATAAACATCAATTTAAGAAATTCTATCAATCTAAAATTAGGTATACAATCAAGACATCATTTTTTATAAAACAATATTGCTCATAATAATCATCATCATCATAATAATAACAAGACTACACTATAGCACAATTAAATAATAATAATAATATGGATAATAATAATAATAATAGACATATCTCACATGCTCTGAAAGAGCTTTTACAAGAATTTTCTTCGATCAGAAATCCTGGCAGCCAAAATGAACACCTACAAGAATGCATTCTTAGTTGGCATTCTAAACACAAAAAATTCACACAAATTCAAATTTTTGAGAACCTAAAACAAGTCGCTCGCAAAAATCATGATTACGCATGTCTACTAGGATTCTGCTATTATGAAGGTTTCGGTACATTATGGAACCTGCAAGAATCATTCGAATGGTATCACATCTCTGCCGAACACAATGATGCATTCGGTCAAAATGAGCTCGGATATTTCTACCAAGAGGGATACGGCACAAAAGTGGATCATGAGAAAGCTTTGTACTGGTATCGAAAATCAGCGGATAATGGTTGCAGTCATGCGAAAGGCAATCTCGGACATTGTTATCAGGATGGAATTCATGTAAAAAGAAATTTACGACATGCTTTTTATTGGTACTCCAAAAGTGCAGAGATGGGTGACGAATCGGGCAAGTGTAATTTGGCAACTATGGTTATCCGTGGTAAAGGAACAAATATTGATGTTCATCAGGCCTTGAAATTGTATCTGGAAGCGAAGAATGTGGGACACACGCACGTAGAACAATATTTTCGTACAATTTTCTATTCACTTCGTTATTCTCTTCCTTAGAAAATTATATTATAAAAAAATGCCAAATTTTAATTTTTGTCTTTCTCCATTTTCATGGAAAATTTAATTAAATTTGATATGACTTTTATATGCATTTGAAATGCTTTCTGATTTTTTATTATTTCGTTAGACCATTCAGTTTCATAAAGTTGATAGTGTGCATCGAAGCATTCACTGCAGCGATCATTTTCTTGACAACGAGTACATTTACTAAATCATAAAGTCATATCTCTTTAATCTAATGAATAAAAAAGGGAATATCAAATAGTGAATTTACCTTCATTCGCTTTGTTTGAGGCATACGAACTGAACTGATGCTTGTTGATTCGACATTGATATATAATAGTCACATGTGATAGAGTTGTGTATACTTATTTTTTTTGAAAAAACAAGTTTACCTTCGTTTGGAACAAAAATACTGATACTTGTCAACCCTCAACATTCGATATAAATTTTAATTAATATGTAATGCTAGAGAATACTTGTATCAGTTGTGATTGAAATTAATTTTATAGTAAATATTCGACTGGTGAAAACTGCATTTGGGTAGTGTTTTTATTGTTCGTATTTTTAGGAATACTTTTTTGTAATTTCATCGCCTCATCAAGTTCTTACCAATTTTGTCTTTCTAGTTTAAGACACGCTTTAATTTCTTCATATGTTTTAGGATATTCTAAAGCGCTATAGTACTGAAAATGCAAAGTATTTGGTTGCTACCTTTTACTGATATAGTCTTCGATATATTTGCTAGATAAAGTGGTAAAGTTCCAAAGCAGTTAGTCTGTTTTCTGGAGTAGGGTCCCAACATTTTCAATAATAAATTTGCACTATTGAAGTATATTATTGGTATCAGAGAACGTACTCCATTATAGATGTCGCATACAAGGTGTATATTGTGACGCCACCCACCAATTGGTCGCTCACCTGTGACAACCTCGCACATAATCATCCCAAACTATAGCTTTAGTGTATGGATTTCCATTTAGTATCTCAACTCATATAAGGAAGTACCCCGCAAATTTTTTGAACAGATTTTTCCATATCTGCTGGTTTGGTAAGTCCAAATCAGCAATTTGAGCAATATTGTCTAATAATATATTTCCAGGATGAAAGTCGCGATGTACAAATTCCTCATTGTGAATTGTATTCAGCCCATCGGGAGACCAATTAAATGATTTAATTTATCTTTCCGAGTTAATTTTTGGTAGTCGATATGCATACGTATATTGGCGTAGATTGCGTACTCCGTCACTATCGAGCATTCATGTATCTGGGTTTTTAGTTGTTCCATAATAACTTATTCCAATATCAATGCACTTTAGAGAAGTATGAATCAATTTTGAAAAATTTAAATAGATTGAAAACAAAAAGCGATATGCTTACACTTTAAAAGGTGTTCATTTTACCTCGTTTATAAACTCGGATGTAATTTCCTTTGAATTTTGTAATGATTTCAACACAACTTTGATTTCTTTATCTCATTTAAATTTATTTTCTACATGATCCCACTCGTAGTTGTAAAACCAGGTTGCTTTATAAATTGATCAAAGCCTCCTTTTGCAAGATATTCAACATTGGTGAATCTTTCAAAAGGGATCCACTCAAAAAATTTATTGTTATTAACGTTACTATTATTGCATTTTTTTATTAGACTGTTGATAACTTTATCTTCAATATAAATTCGTCAGCATAGATAACAATGCTTAGCTTTTGACAATCCAAACATTTACTATAATCATGAGTATTGAACTGAACATGCATCGCAGCACTTATTATCATTACTATAATCATGAGTATTCGAAATTTAGATGCCATCTTTTAGTTTATTTTATTAGTGATTATGACAGTGTTTTATTTAAAAAAAAACGATGATTTATCGAGGTTATCGAGCACATACGAAATCAAAAAATCAATATTATAAAATATTGCGAACCCTCGAATTCGTCACCGATATTTTTTATTAACGATAAGTAGTAAATTCGGTCCAATTAATAATTTTTCTGTAAGTTTGAATAAATATATATTCACCAAATCTCGATGAAAAATACCTTCATCATCATGCATACATCTTTTTTATGTACTTGCTTTAGAAAAAGCAGAACTATAATTTTTACTTTTAATGATTGCAATTAAACTTGATCAAGCTTTTCAATTATGAGAATAAGAGTAGGGTTGTTAATGGAGCGGCATACTCCAGGTTAGCTCCGGGTTACTATGTAATTTCTAAATTCACTCCGCTTCGGAGCCATAATTCTATAAACCCAAACCACTTCATGCTCCATATGGAGTGACCGGAGCTAGAATATTCCTGACGTAAAACAGATTCGAAAATATAGTATTTGGATGTTAGTGTTAGTTTCGTTATAAAAAGAGAAAAAGACAACAATGGTAGGACCAAGTGGGATGTTGGTAAATAAATTTATAATTATTGTTTCCTAATTTTATTTTTATCAAAATTATAAATTTGTTATTTTTGAAACACGAGTATGAAACTTGTTTATTAATTAGGCATGATTTTTATAGAATCATTGATCATAATGTAATCGTCATCACTCATAATTATGATAGAGTTCACAAATTATTTGAAAACTAACAAATGCTCACAAATTCCAAACTTCCGTTCTTTCAATTCCATCATCATCATTATTATCAGTATTGTCATCCAAGATATTATCAGTCTCATGTTGTTCTCTAAGGAAAAGAAATTATCGGATGTTGGTGTTTGGCCAATTTCAAATCAAAATTATTTTGTAGTAAAAAACAATCAAAAAACTATTGATATCATGCAATATATATCACCGAACACAAAGTATAGCATACCATAAACAATCCGATCCGTATCTCTTAGAAGCAAGAAGAATTGTGGATATGGCAAGGGTGTATGCAACATGGCACAAAGTAAAGTCTCACTCGATATCTCTATTGAAAAGATTTTGGCAATTATTTTATTGACGGTTGATAACTTCAGATTTCCACAAGGATTGAACAACAGCAACTTTCAATGACTTTTTCGAATTTGTAATTTTCAACACAGATGTCTTTGAGTCAATTGGAATAACTTTACAAACTTCATGTTGAATTTAATAAAACTATTAGTAAAAATTTAAAAACATAAAGAAAAAGCGGAATCTTCTAGAGGTTCATACGTAAAATGCTATCAATTTTTTCAAATAAAATTTTTGTTCCTATGCTAATAAATGCTGCTCAAAAAGTGTTTAATACATGTACGTGTGTAGCAAAATACGTGTACGCACGTATGTCGAATACTTTGAACGCATGCATGCGTTTATTTCACTTTCACTATGCATGTTATTCACAAATCGGTTAAATATAAGTGAAATAGAATTGGTTTTTGTAATCAAGCGGAATTTTGGAAAATGACAATACGTGTCATTTTCCCTTCTTTCTCCATTTAGATCATATCTCACGTGATTTATAGGAATACGTACGTATGTATTCTATTTGCGCAAATAACTTTATTTTGTGAAGTACACGTATACTCTGTCAGCATTCTTCGCAGTCACCTAATATTCTGGCTTCGTTACGAATATACGGATAATTGGTGAAGATATAAATATTTTATAACCCTTCAGCTAAAAAGATATGCTATTTAAACTTGTCATTAAAGTTAAGTCAGATATCCGAAATACAATGAAAAATATTTCCTTAAGAATAATATGTCCGGCAAGCCAGATTTGAACTAGCGACCTAGAGATGACAGTTAACACTACAGTCTCCCGCTCTACCAACTGAGCTATTGCCGGTTTCCTTGTTTTCTTATCAAAATAAAAGATATAGATATCGATAACGATCAATAATCTAATCTAAATAACGAGATTTTCTTTTGTTTGTTTGTGGCAATGCTTCACATTTTTTCGCATCAGATTTTTTTGGTTTAGTGATCAGATTCGTTATCGTTATAAAATTAATTCCGTATCGTATATCTATTTGTCTGTTTGCTTGTATCATTAGACTTGTCGCTCCCACCTGGACGCGCGCTAACCATTGCTTTTAACTTCTTGTTAATTTTCATTCTCCTGCTTCTGATTGCCATCTAACATCCCGAGTATCATAATCCTGACATCCCATATGCCAGACAAACGAAATCCCAAAAATCCAACATCCCGAAAAGCTACTATCCCGAAACTCAATTGCCCGAAAAACAACTTCCCGAAAAGCCTACATCCCAAATGCTCAACATCCCGAACACTAACATCCCGATGGTTCAAAATCCCGTAATGTTAAAAATGACCATTCAAATCCCAACACATAAAAGCATGAAATTGCATATACTATTTATATTACACTGTATTGACTGTCATAAAGTTTGGCAAATTGGCTCCCGAACTACCTCCAATCTGGAAATACTATATTTTAACACTAAATTTGATTTTAAGATTGGAATTAGGGTTAGGGTTAGAGTTAAGAACAAGGTTATATATAAATTACCTGCCCGACATTTGTTATTAGTGGACAAAACCTAAATTCGAGCATTAGCTCCTCAATTTTCATTTTCTTGTTTTGCCGACTAATTGTTTGTGCATTCCTATTGGTTGGTGATTAGAAATGCAATTGTCAAGTATCGGATATGCACCATTTTTTCTTGATACAACGATAAGGGTACCCGATTACCGATTACGTATTAACTATTGCTATTTACACATTGTAAAAAATAATAAAATAATGATCATGTATTTCTGATTAATTACATGTATGTGGAACGTGGAGATAATGATAATTTTAATGGATGATTAGAACACATTGGATTGGCATATACGTACTTGTTAATACAAAAGTCGATCAGTGAGTGACTATATATATACCGATACGTAATAAATTTTAAATGTGATTTTGAACCAGGATTTTGAAATGTCGGGATTGAATTTTCGGGATTTTGATAGTGTTCGGGATATTGAACATTCGGTGTTCGGTAAGTTGGGGTTTCGGGATGTCGAACTTTTTGGATATTGGACTTTCGGGATTTCGTTTGTTGGGTATAT